TTCACAGTTCTACAAGAACTCATTTCAGGAGCTGCAACACATACGGCACGATCCTTCAAGTGCTGAGAAGAAACCGGTAAAAATCTATCTCGATATGCTATCTTCGCCGTTTGACGCTGAAAACGGTATGTCGTTCGACATTCGGTCTATTTATTCTGTTCCGAATATTCCGTGCCTATTTCAGAACAAATGAATGATTCCATAAGGGCCGCCATCCGTCGCTCTGGATACCAGGATAGAAGACGAACTATTTCAAGGTGCGTAACCTGCGTGCGGACCTTATTGTCTATTCGCTTCTTATTTAATTGACTTCAGGAAGCGTAGGCGTTGGGCAAACAGGACCGTCACTATGGACAACGTACCACCGGAGTTCCGCACTCTGCGCGATGGCTCCACGTTTCTACACTACCAGACCTCTGGATTCCATATTTATTATTCTGAGGCGACACTTCCAGGTGACGAATCCACGGAATATCAATATCCGAACAGTTCACATAATATATTATAATTGCAGAAGGCGTGTGAAGCAGGACTTCACAGTATTGTCGCCGATGGTCTGCATTCTTACAACCTAAGTCGCTAGGAAACCGTGCACAGCTGTACTGCGTGCATGGTGTGTGCTCCCAGGGAGTCGAAGTACCGCTGCTATATAGCATTACTTCCAAGAAAACGGAGGAGGTTTACAAGAAAATTTTCGGGCACTTGAAAATAAACATGACTGGTGATGCACCTCGGCGAATAATATTGGACTTTGAAAAGGCAGCGATAAAAGCAGCTCGGGAGGTTTTTCCTACAGCGTCTGTACAAGGGTGTGGCTTTCACCTTGCCCAAGCGTGGAACCGCAGCTGCATTGCCCTTGGCCTCAAAAAATACATCCTTGGACCGGAAAGAGATGATCGCATCGTGGGGTGGTGGGAAACTATTAGAGGTAAGCTTTCGGAATCGTAGAAGGTCAAGAAGGTCGTTTAAATATTTCTATTTCAGGCACACCATTCCTTCCCCGTGAGTTGATACCGCGTGTGAGGGCTCTGCAAAGGCCTCCGGTGCACAGTAGGCATAAAGCCTATAAAGCATGTCAAGATTTCCTCAATTACCTCCAAGCGACTTGGCTTCAAGGTGCATTTAAGGACATGTGGTGTAAATGGAATATGGCAGAGCTGCGCACCACAAATTTGGCTGAAGCGTTCCACAGGTGACAGACAAGGTATCCAGTGATGAAAGAACGTAATTGAAAACATCTTTTTAGACGACTCGGGGTCCTCATACCTGTACACCATCCACCATTGAGTGTACTTATCGACACTCTTCGGAAGCTCAATTTCGAGACACGTGCTACTCTCAGACGCCTGCAGGAGGTTGGAAGTTGACCATGTTGCTAAAGTACCCATTTCCGAGTGTTTATTCAACGTTCATTACAGGACCCAGCCCATGCCAAAGTGCTGCGGAAAAGAGATCTGGAGAGAAGAGCAAAAATAGCCGAGGAAATGAGAGAGTGGGTTTTCCAAGCACTGCAAGTAAAAGAGATGCAATACCGCTCTACTGCTTTCAGATTTGAAGAATGTTATCGAAGCGTGCCCACTGAGGATCAAATAGAAGACTTTTGTAGAAGGATGGCTAGATATGTAACTAGTAAAACCATATAATTTTTAGATTGTTAAGAAGTGCATTTTATTTGTTTCGTTGTAAATCTATTGTCATTATAAAGAAATTTAATATTTATAGAAATTTATAGAAATTTTCTTCCTAACACTCGACCTTGTGAATAATCAAATCGATACATCTCGTTACGTTGAGTAGCCAGTGAGAGGTCAGCAGTCAGCGCAGCAATTAAGCGAGGTCATGCCGCAGGCGGCCTCGGGATATGCGGGCCTCGGGATATGCGCTGGGTGGTGGCATACAGTATCTTACCGTACTTACCGTATGCTACTCCAGCTAAAGTCCGCCACCCGTTGCCCCTGCAGCCACCTCCAACCTCGTTGCCACCACTGCCACTAGGGCACGTGAGGAGCCCATCCTAGATCGCTTGTGGGCTTCTTTGACTGAAGAAGCAGTCTCGACAGACAGCGGAATGTGTGAAAAGGTTCAAAATTGGGTGTTCATAGATCATGGGACAACTATAGGGCTAATATAACCGCATGCTTCACTTGAACGAAATCGAAATCCGGGCAAACGCCAGGCACATGCAAAAAAATGAATTGTGGTAGCGACGAAGAGAACTTGCACTGTGAAAGTCAATGCGATGAAAACACTGTTTGGCTGAAAGTATGACTTGATCTGGGTATGTGGTCGAGCTAATCTCCGTTTCAGATGCGTGACCAGGGTACAGCTGGTGGTGTCAGTACGCTACCCCCTCCCCCGAAAAGGCCTGTACATTTCAATTCCTTCTTTCAGGCAGCTAATTGCTGTGCTCTGACAGATCGACCCTAACCCATATAATGATATAAATTCGCTCCGTCAGTTTGTTGTTTTGTTTTGAAGTTTGTTTGTTTTTTGTTCTGTAAGTTTGATAAGCTTGTAAGTTTGTTTCTGTCCGGAAAATTACGATTCGGACACTGAAGAACGATTTGGAGATTGGAAGGTTGGGGATGGGTCCTAGAGCATGGGAATAAGAAAGCACACTGATCTATGCGAAGCCCGCCACAGTGGGCGGGGCACTCGCCGAAATTTGGGGTTCCGCACAGAAATGTTCATAATTCGCTCCCAGAGCAGCTCAAAGATGGGGAAAAGTGGAATGAGTTTAGCAAGGAGTTGCCAGACTAACTGTGCGAGATACATCCAAAATGGCGTACTCAAGGTGGGCGGCGCTTCTCTCAAAAATCAGTGACCCTGTTCGCAAGGGTGTTTAGGAGTCGAAAAAAGCTCAATGCAGAATGTAAATATCTGGAACGCTCAAAGTGTGTTGAGACCCGCCCACAGTGGGCGGAGCTTGCCCTAAATCGCAGGATACTCATTTTAAAAGTTTGTAGCTCGGTTCCAGAACACTCCAAAAACCGGAAAAAAAGGATCAAGGTCGGCGAGAGCTGGGCCGATTGAGGATAGCGGGGCACAAACATAGTGGGCGGGGCCTGCTCAGAGGTGGGCGGAGTCGGACAAATCTGTAAAATAGTTTCAGAGCACTGCAGATACCGAAAAAAAACGTGGATTAAGGTGAGCGGAGGGTCGTCGGTGAAGATTATGGGGCATAAATGTTGTGGACGGGGCCAGCCCGAGGTGGGCGGAGCCAGACAAAAAATCTGCAAAACGGTTTCAGAGCGGTCCAGACACCGTCAACATGTAAGCAGAGATGTGCAGACAAACCTCAACTTTTGGTATATATGCAAGAGTGAGGACATGATACGAAGCCTGGCTGTGGTGTGCTGGTGACCCGCCCCCACTAAGCGAGAGCCGCCACGACGTACTTATTCTTACTATGTTTTAACGCGTATTCTGCCTGTTCTCTCGCCTCTGCCCATACGCACTAGCACCACTCCATACTCAGTAATAGTTAAAATAGCAAGACGATGATGACTTTGTCGAGAAGCTTTAACCATGAGTACAGAACAAAGCCTGATATAAGTTGAGCCTGGAAGTATGTGAAAGAAGGTGCGCGCGGCGAAGCTGCGCCTGTCCGGCGCAGCCTTTCCGTATCAGAAGGAAGCGCGCCGGCGAGCCGACTGGTAATTTCAGATACCGCAACCGCTCGCAAGAGTTTGCGGCCCCTCGCAATGACTCCATGGTCAAATTAGCGGTGGAGTACATCTGCTGGCCGGTTGGAAATCGCAGGACAATCCTGGGGGTGATGGCTTTTTTTACGTGTGGGGCTTTGACAAACGAAAGTCATTTTGAAGCGTTGTCTCTACTTTCGCTTCTTTACTTACTCGTCTGAATCTTCCCCCCTTCGTAAAATTATTTCAGACGGTTACGGAGGCGTTAGTGGTAAATTGCAAGCTGGTTTTCATCTTTCAAACGACGAGAGTAATTTGTGTCAAACGCATCTTTCATAAACAAAAAACTCCCAATAACGAACTACATTTCTTGTTTCCAACAGGCTCTACAATATTTCTGAAGACCCGAAGACACCTGAAAAACGGTGCAGAAGATCTCGATTTAGCTGAACAGAGGGACCGAATCTTAAGCCTGTTGGAAAAAACAGCGAGAATCGGAGAAAAGGTTGCCGGCGGATCATGTCTAGAATGCCGAATGTCGGCCTGTAGAAACATATGGAATGGGTTGACTTTCCGATGTACGACCGCGCGTTACCCTAAGTTGTCTTACCATCAAGGAATAATTGGGGAATGGCATTATCAAACGCCCGTTTTACGCTCGAGTCAATATTCACATGTTTGGTTGTGTAGGTGGTGTCCGTAAAAGTTGAAGAAATTCGGTCATTTTATTCAACACATATTAAGCGAAAAATCAGAATTAGATAGTGGCCCTTTCAGCCACAACGATCTCTCATACCGAGTGAGGCACGGAGCATCGATACCTTTCTTCCAGAAGGAAGCAGGCTGGGACGCAATCCATTCATCGACCATACGCTTGACATCCTGATGGTTGTTGAACATCTTACCCGTAGCGTAAGCCTGGAGACTCCTGAAAGCATGGCAGTCACAAGGGCTAAGGTCAGGTGAATACGGAGCATGGGCAGCCATTCGATTCATAAATTCTTCAGCTCGGTCCGCTTGCGCCTTCGCATGATATGGCCGGGCGTTGTTCCCATGTCGATGTGAAATTTGCCCCTGTACTGAGGTGAAAGTGGGTGCTCTAGACACCAGCTCTCGTAGTTGCTTAAAGAATATCGATGATGTTTCAGGTAAAGTACGCCCTCATGACGAAATCTCGTTAATAACTGCACGCGGTGGGTAGCAGACAAAGAAAAAACGAGAGCAAGGTCCTTCTCGGCGTTGGCGATCTCGCTTTAAAACAGGGCTCGGCTTTTGGTCCAACGGCAACCACTCCAGTTTCCTATCCGGTTTTCGTACGAGATCCACTTTTCATTCTGAGCAGTTATGAAACTCGCTCAGTCGTCGTTCATTCTCGATCGAAGAGCTTCTGGCATAGATCGACCCTCACCGCACATTCCCTTGCGGTTAAAGACCGCGGAATAGTTCCGGCGAGAGCCGCGCGGAAGCCGTTCCTTTTCGAAATGCTGTGAATCGAAAAGTAGAAGTCGTCCTCTCAACTCCCTCAAACTTTGGGCAGGATTGGTCCTCACAGAAGCCAGAACGATGTCAGTGTTGGAAGAGGAGGGCGTCCGCATCGAGGTGCTTCATCGAGGCTAAACTCTCCCACTGCGAAGCGGGTCTACTACCTTGCTAACGCAGGTTGCAAGAAGGGAGCATTGCCACCCATCGACGACAGCGACTCATGCCTCGCATGAGTAGCGGAGTGGCCGGAACGGTAAAGATGAAGTAGAATGCGTCGGTATCTGTAGTGTCGTCCCACATTATTCATTGTACGAATAAAGGGGAATGGACGAAATTAAAATATTGCGTCAGCTGCTGATTTGATCTACAGACAATCCTCTATCTTCCCATGTTTTGATCTACAGATTTGCTCATGGCCTTCGCGCGCTACGCTTTCTCAAAGTGAGGCAGCGAAATTTTCTCAAAACTTTTCCGAACACCCTAATAAATGCATGACACCCGATGAACGCAGACTGATTTTGAACTCCGCCAAGAAGCCAATAAAAAACAGTGAGTGCGGGAAGAAAACTTGGGCATTCTATAAGAACGAATTGAAAAATGTGAACGATCCAAAAACGTCAACGTTCCGCGCAACAGGATCGGGAAACGGGCAAATAGCCACAAATCATGACAACCATTAGATCTTTCTTGTTTAATGCTCGAAGTATCACCAACAAAATAGTACATCTGCGACAATCGAAGAAGTACAACAAAGTTCACGAGGCTTCTCATGTATAGATGTGGATCGGACGCTGTTCATGCCGCGTGTGCTATCCCCAACCATAATGAGATGCTCAGACTTTCTAAGACTCGGTCGATCAAATAATTGATTGTCTTAGTATCGCTTGATAAAATATGTCCAAATTTACAATTCCTCTTTTGTGGAACTGCCCCAAAATGCGTTACAAATGCTTTCGCAGAAGATCATAGCTGGTTCACCCAAATGTTCTTCCATTCTTCGTCGTAAAGTTGAGTAAAGCGAAGATATTACTGCCACTAACTAAATATGAAGATAAGCCTACCTAAGCCCTTGGCCACCACCTTTGCTGAGGTACTTCCCTGTATTTCATCTGCAATCGTTTGTCTAGAGCAGTAAATAAAATTCGCCTCAACACAAGCCTTCATCAGAAATACTCGCGTGGAATCGGAAGTATGTCAATACATCTCAATATCACGTTTCAGAACTCAGTCTGATTGATGAAGGTCAACAGGTACCAATTCGTTCATCCACTGGTTACTTTTGGGCCTGGGTCTTTACGCCTGTGGCGTCGTATTTTATGATCAAAGAGGCATGCTACTTTTCTGCCCGCCCCGGAATAACCGCGGTTAGTTGCGTTGCCCAGGCTGTCCTTTCATCAAATATCATCACTCTCAAATAACTCAACGTAAATATTGTATAGAATCGAACTATCCCTGAGCCTAATGCAGCTTTATAATGTCTTCTTCAACAAAATTCAATGAGTACTCGAAACACAATATTCATTGGTAAGCTTTCGCTGTGATAACAGCTTCTTCAGACCTCAAATAAAATACAGCATATATAGTACTACAATCTCTACAACAATGAGCTGGTCTAAGTAGCGAGACCAGACTGAAGCGCAGGGTCTGTATTACAATACTTCAATCGCCACGAGTTGACAACAACTGCCACTAAAATATTAGGTTGTCCGGAAAGTTCTTAGCGTTTTGTGCACCTAATCTTTGTACATTCACTGCTGATTAAAAACTCATTCTGCCTTGCTTCTCAGTAGCACATCCTGTAGAGAATTTCTTGCGCTATCTGATGGTATAATTGCCGTTTCACCATTGCTTGATAAACCCTCTTTTTTCAAGATTTTTTCAAGCATGTGAAAAGAGCACTTCGGACGATTTTTTTCTTCGGCTATAAATTGGGGCAATCCGCAATCGAAACAGCTCAACAAATTAACCAGGTGTGGGGGCCCAATAGTGCTAAAGAAAGCACTGTGCGGCAATGGCTCAATAAATTTTTCGCCTCTGGAGATTTCAGCCGTTGAAGGTGAGCCTCAATAGCGGTCGAGTCCTAACAGCACATATTCGTGGGACGAGCGATTTTTAGGGGGATTTTGAAGGTTGACCATCCCAAACAGTTCGAGAGATAGCAGAAGAGCTAGGCCTTGGCAAATCCACTGTTGCAGATGGTCTGGAACGCATTGGGAAGGTGAAAAAACTCGACAATTGGGTGCCCCACAATCGGAGTGACCGGCAGGAATCGGCACGTCTCGAGGTTCCTTCTTTTCTTCACTGCTTTTGCGCAAAAGAATTGACCCGTTTTTGAACGGATTTGTCACCTGTGTGAAAAATGGATCATGTATGATAACAGGAGACGTTCCGGACAGTGGTTGGATTTGGAGGAACCACCGAGGTAATTTTCAAAGCCGAACCCTCGCGAAAAAAAAATTCTGGTCAGGTTTGGTGGTCATCGGCTGTTGTAATCCACTATAACTTTTCATCACCAGGGCCAAACCATCACAGTCCAGAACACGCCTACTGTGAACAAACCGACCAAATGTACCGAAAATATTGTCAGCTGCAGCCAACACTTATCAAAAGAAAGGGTCCGATTCTTTTGCATGACAACGCCCGCCCACACGTTTCACAAATCACTATCCATAAATTGAACGAATTGGGAGTTGAAGTTCTACCTCACCCACCATATTCTCTAGACCTTTCACCAACCGACTGTCACCTTTTCAGACATTTTCAGAACTTCCTTGCTGAAAAATACTTCATCAATTAAGACCAGGCAAAAAAGACCTTCGCAGATTTCGTGGATTCTCGACCACCCAGTTTTTCTTTGATGGGATTTCTCGACTGCTGCCACATTGGCAAAAGTGTGCTGATTCGAATGGTGCTTATTTGGATTAAATCCGATGAGTGTTAAGAAAGTTATGATCGTTTAAAGTTAAACACCCAAAACGCTAAGAACTTTCCGGACAACCTATACTAACCACCACCGAGCGACACCGCCAATGCAACTAAAAGTGACTAAGAATGCGACGCGCTGACAATTGCGAGGACATCCTTATCACGACCGCTATGCAATCAGCCTCATTGCCTCCATCAGCTCATCCCTGTTGTTTATTTCGGGGGATAACCGCTTGATAGCAATCGCTTCAAGTAACTTCCTTCTTGATGGACTATATTTATCGAGCGATGAAAACCGTTACTTCAGGGCGGGGAGGTGCTTGTTGTGGTAAACGATCGTTACGTCGGCGAAAATCCACTGAGGGATTCCGCAAAGCAACGTATCTCTGATTGCATTCTTCGCATGTGACCAAGTAGACTGTCCCACGTGTCTGACAAATTTCATTTTCTGTAAGTTACTTCGGCCACATTTCTCTTCGTAGATCCTCGATGATGCTAACAAGCTTTTTAGATTTTCAGGCGGCCGGAATATCAGCTTGAGGAAGATGGGACGACTTGATGGTATAATTGACGTTCTTTGCTACTCTTTCGTTAACATATGGCAGAACCAGTAGGATTCCTCCAGTAGCAAAGAAAGGTCGCCATGTTCTGGGTTCGTTCGTCGTGTATCCGTTCTCTTCCAAAATCCTCGCTATTTTCCGGTTCACCTCTTCTGATTCCCTAGTGCATCTCGCGCTTCTTGCTAGCGATAAGATTTTTTTTACCACTGTTAGCCTTCGATAGAGCGGCGTGCGCGCTTCGAGAATGCAGAAGACATTTTCTTTGACAATTGGTTTCTTGCACCACTAAAAAAATCTCCCTAGTGCCGCGCGTTTATTCGGACTTCGTGTTTGAGGATTTGCGTAGCAGCTGGCTATTAGCGCAACGTGAAGTGGTAATATCTTCCAATTCGAAAGCAGTGGAAATCTGTCCACAGAAACGGCAGGGCCTTGCCAATGCGGATTAAGGATTTCGCCGGCACTACTCCATCGTCGTATTTTGGACAGGATTGAAAGGAGTCTGTTGATCTTAGAATTATATTCTAACAAGCGCTACATACGACGATGTATTCGTCGTGTTGTTCTACCGCCGAGTGTCATGAGCAGAGGCTCTTCAAAACTTGAACTCATGCGACCCGAACATACTTTTAACGGTGGAACATCCAAGACGAACGCGGCTACCTTCCATTACTCAACACGAAGGTCCGAATAAACCACGGCACTAAGGAGATTGAGTGGTACAAGAAACCGATGTCAAGGAATATCCTTCTGCATTCTCGAAGTGCGCACCCACTCTATATGAAGGCTAACGTGATAAGAAATCTTATCGCTACGAAGGCGCGGACATGCACTAGGGAATCAGAAGAGGTGAAAACCGGAAAACTCGGAATGATTTCGGAAAAGAACGGATACACGACGAACGAACCCAGAACATGGCGAGCTTTCTTTGCTACTGGAGGAATCCCATTGGTTTTGCCATATGTGAACGAAAGATGTAGAAAGACGTCAATCATCGCCATCACGGTCGTCCCCCTTCCAGTCAAGCTGATATTCCGGCCACCTGAAAATCTAAGAAGCTTGTTGACATCATCGAGGATCTATGAAGAGAAATGTGGCCGAAGTAACTGTCTATACTGTACAGAAAATAAAATCTGCCGGTTACGTGGGACAAGTCTACTTGGTCACATGCGAAGGATGCAATGCACGACATATGTGTGATGAACAACAATGGCGACCTTTACACAACAAGGCTGAACGAACACATACGAGCTTGCGGAATCGCACTCTCACCCCCGAGTGGGATTTTTGCGGCTGCATCGTACGATGTTTCACAAAACACGAAGGCACCTCCTCCGCCTGAAAGTGCGGGTTTGCACCACCGAAGGAAGTCCATTAGAGGAAGTTACTCGAGCGATGCTATCAGAGGCCGTTATCCCCGAAATAAGTAACAGGGATGAGCTGATGGAGGCAATGAGGCTGACTGCATTGCGGTCGTGATAAGGATGTCCTCGCAATTGTCACGCGCGTCGCATTCTTAGTCACTTTTAGTTGCACTGGAGGTGTCGCTCGGGTGGGTCATTAGTATTTAGTGCAGTTGTTGTCAGTTGGCTAAGCTTTTCGTTTTCGTTTTACTAAATGTGTATGTGCAGTTGCATCGTTTTTTGGTAAGAGCACTTTTGAGGGCAGTTGCTGAATAAATAAATAAATATTTGATCACGCTGTGACAGAACACATTATCATCACTAGGAGGAGACTTAAGCGCTACTGTGCTCAGAGCGCAGGCAAAAGCTCACAACTGGATTGAAGAACGAATTACGTAACGAGAAAAGGAGTCGTGGACGGAGTTAAGGTTTTATTCCAAAAAATGACTGTACTACCTTCCTCATAGTTAATTTACGGACGATTCAATTAGACACTGCGAAGGATTTGTCACCAATTTCTCTAAGAAAAGTCTCAGGTCAGAAAAATCAAAGGACATTAGGGATAGCGTTTTCGCCGTTGAGCAATCCCTTTTCTGGATGCGGCATGCATTTTACTTCCAATCAGAGCCGTAGTAGCTTAATGAGTGCGATGTGCCCTATACAGTGAGTTGAGTGGGGCAAGTCAATGTCCAGGTCAGTATTCTCATCCTTCCAGACCCGGCAGCAATTAACCGTCCACGGAGGGTAGGTTGCTCAGTTAGCTTGAACGGGAGTCGATCCGGGATGTGACTACCGAACCGCGCATGCGACAGGCGTGCAAATCTCCACTGGACTACCTGAGCCCATAAAAAAAATCAGGAATTCAATCCCAGGTGAAAGCCTACCTCTTCCTTTCACTAAAGAACACGGTCTTGGCTGGCAACGGAACGCGTGAAAAGATTCAAAGTCTGATGTTCTTGGATTATAAGATTCGGTTTCCGTCTGAGCATAATCCATAGTTGTTCCTTGAACGCAATGCGATATTCAGTAGAACGCCAGATACATACATAGAATGTTTGTGAGTAGCATATCAAAGAGAACAGTACCTGAAACTGAAGGATCTAATGAAAACTGTAGGATGAAAACCGCTGATGGAAGAGCTGCCTGGTTTGGATACATATTCGAATTACTCTCCGTTCCAGTTGCCCTACTGGTTCTACTCCCATTCAAGGATAGATGGATATCGATCGGCGCCAGTCGCTAATGCTTTTGGAAGAATAAGAGGTCCCCAGTTGGTCTGATTAGGCGTCGTCAAGCAGCATCTTGTTAAGCGATAGCACTGCAGCACGAAGTCACACCTGTGAGACCCTCTCATTCTCTTCCAAAACGCTGATGACCAGTGCCGACAGATAATCACCCATCCTTGGACGCGCGTTCCTTAAAGGCGACGTTCATACTTTGCGACGGCAGAGCTTGTTTGACGCGATCGATCGCACATGCTTTCGACTGTGTCGATCACGTCGAATACGCAATCGAAGCGCTGCCGGCGCGAAGTCAACGCAGCCTAGGGGGAATTTTTAGAAGAGGAGCCAAATCCTTTAGTTCCTCTTCCTTTCCCTCCAAGTGTCACCACCCACTGTATCGAACACAATGAGAGCCGTATTTCGCAACAGGGACGAGGAAGAGGTTGTTTCTTTGCTACGAGGGGACTTTTCCTGTTTGTTGACTTTGCCTGTCCTGTGCACGCCCTATACCCTCCTTAGTGGCCGCAAAGCCGCTATTTCTGATAGCTAATCAGCTCGGAAGCGAAATTCTGGGAAAGTTTGGCATGATGGCAGGTAAGACGGTAAAGGGTACCGATAAAGGAGAGGAAACCTCGGGTGGTGGTCGCATTTTGCAGAATTTTTCCACAACGTGATGTGGTCTCTTCCTCTTTGAAATCAGATGATTGGCTCTGCGCTTGTCTGGGGCTTCAATTACCGTGAGCTAGACTCTATCTAGTCAGTGTTCAAGTCAATTTCCGTCCAAAACCCAGCACAATCCTAACAGAGCATAAAATGCATGGCGCGTTCCAAAAACAAGTTGTCTGTCCTTCTTATCTTATGGAGCACTTCACGAACTTACGAGATTGCTTGCACATAGAATCATAGTCTCCTGTGATAATTCAAACAAACGCGAGAAATTCATTGCAGCAGTACTAGCAAACCAAGTGCAGATGTAGATGAGTAGTAGAACTACTCTGAGGCGTTGGATTACAATGTGATTATTTCGACACACCACGGATTTGCCTGGAAATACCATTTATGATAGAGAATGTTCATTGTTCATATGCCCACTACAAGCTGCGCTGATGAGGAGGAGAGAGTACATGATTCATTTGAAATCGCATAGGATGCGTTTTTCGTGAGAAATTTCCATCTAGGACAGCTGTCTTTCTGTCTTGGGCATCACCACGGTTGCCTCAAACGAATATCCCATTAAGAGCGCAGGGGCCACCAGAAGTGATGTACACAGCCACGCCCTCTCTGTCTCCGGGATGTTGAGTGTACTTGTAAAGAAGTCCATCTTCTATGTGTACCTCGGCACGTGAATATAATTCTGATATCAGCATAACCTGTCAGGCGGTTCCAAGAGGGGCGAAACGAGCCCTTTCCCGGCGTTTCCACCATGTCCCTTATCTTCCTAAGTGGATCACTCTGGAGGCGGGCTCACTGAGCCATTTCCCCCCCCCTTAACCCTGACACCGCTCCTATTGGTTAGTACGATATTATATTCCTGATCCCCGCAAACGATAGGGCTTGAGTAGAAGCGCGAGTTGGATTGCAACGAAAGCAGCCCTCCCCGTCAATTGTTGCCCATTGCTCCGATGCTCACTCCGTCGCACGGGCTACCCTTTCGCAGAGTCTATGAACAGTATGAAGTGAATCCCTTTGACTGCTTCTACCTTCTGTTTTTCTATCGTTTTCTAGCGTTTTCATAATTGCATGGCATTCTGTGATCGCTCTGTCTTTATTCCTTATTGTTGTCCTTTTATTGGCCCCATATAATAATTAACAACTAGCTGTGAGGCTAACATGAAGTAATTTGTCTTACACACATCACATAACGCTACAATACCTTACACTATGCTATATTTTATTTTACACATCCCACACTGTACTGGTCAGTGGAGTCTGGACGCACCACGGAGTCTTTTCCCTCTGAAAAACTCATACCGTGGTATGTGACATGCTTTCCTACACCTTTCGATGTAGAGCAGCTGCAGTACTCAATTTTTCTGCGATCTGGCCTTTCGCGCCAGGACTCGCAGCAAAAGTCGTACATGTCATGTAGCCAGGGCACATCGTTGTTGGGGAATCCCAATAGGGGGTCGTATTTGGCCGCCAGGAGAGGGGGTCGTATTTGGGCTGAGAAAAATTTATTTTGATAGTTGATTTTTCTCGCTTCATGGACGTTGTGGGGGGGGGGAGGTCGTACTGGTCATCTGTGTGAGGAGGGGGGCGTGTATCTACGTTTTGGCGTTGAAGCAGTGGTGGTCGACTTTGGTGATTTTCCTGTTTCATGTGTACTATATGCCCTCCCCCCTCCTCCACCCCCCTGCTCGAGCTCGATTTGATGCGGAGGACCAGAGACCGGAGGCAGGAGGGGGGTCGTACCACCCCCCCCCCCGAAAAAAAGAGGGGGGGAGGGTGGTCGACTGAAATCCCCAACCAGTGATGTGCCCTGCATGTAGCCCCTTTATACGGATCTGACCGTGCATTGGCCTAACACGATATGCCCCGTTTGCAATGATTCAGAGGAACTTACAAAAAACTGCTGTCAGTTCTTGCCAGCGAGCCAGGGGGATTTTTGTCATCTCCTGGCTCGCTGACAAGAACTTGCGAAAATTCACCCATCCCTCCCTTCCTGAGGAAAATAGCCCAGCTTCGCATTATCAACTATGTCAGTTACATCATTAGTTTGACCCACTGTATTATGCGGCGCACCATCTAGTGTCCTTCAGCAATCAAAGGAATTAAAATGCAAATAAATGAATACCTTTTGTCTTAACGAAAATGATGATAGCTACATATACAAGAATGACAAGACAACTAATGCAGTTGTTCGACAAGATCA